CATGGCCAACTACCAGGCCAAGTACACACTGGGCTACTACCACTCCAAGTACGAGTGCATGTACTGCGACGACCTCCTCACCCCCTTCGTCACCAGAACCAAGCTGCTTCACTCGCTCGCCTTCAGTGCCGGTCTCAGCGGACAGGCTGTGTACCGAGACTGGTTCGCCAAGGTGCGCGGCGCAGGCCACCTGGCCGTGCTCTGCCCCGACGTCATGTTCTTCCTCGGCGCCCACGTCAACATGACGGCCGACGACTGGCTCCCCGTGGCCCGCCGCTGGTCCCTGGAGAGGGTGCAAGCCTTCGACGGCAGAGAACACGTCTTCAGCTGTGAGTCGGTGGGCATCTCGTGCAAGAATCCTTTGGGCATCATCAAAAGCTATCTGTTGCCGCCGTGTTGCATTGCAGAGATGGAGGAGGTGATTGGTTATCTCGTCAGCTATGCGGAGCAGAATCACCTGGATTACGAGCTGCACCTAGGCTCTGTCCTCGGAGCTATAAAGCTGGGCCAGTACCTTCCTTGGGACTACGACACAGACATTGTTGTCAACTGTCATCAGTTTGATGAATGGTGGAATATTGATGCATACATGAACATTACAAGAATAAAGTGCAGAAAAAAGATGGTGTGGAATGGTTATATGAATATCATTTGTCCACACTTCTTTCTCGAAATTATCTGCCATAAAGGGAGAAACAACAGCCGAGTCCATCTTCCGGCCGAGTATAGAGACATCCCGACACAGGCCTTGTATTCCGGCCGATGGATCAACGTCAGGAGCAACCCGGGACTCTACTGCAGGAACGCCATGGGTCTGGAGGTTCTCCGCCACGCGGCGCACTGGAGGACGCTCAAGACGTCGGCGGAGGCGAAGGCCAGGGGTGGCTACGACAGCCCAGGGACCTGGAACAAGTGTAAGGACTCGAGCCATCATTCCTGTCTGGACAAATATCCTGGGGACGGAAACCTGCCCTTCACTCAGCCTTTCCTGCGGCCGTAGCCTCAGACGACGAAGGAAACCTGCGCCTCAGTCAGGAGGGAGATCGGGAGGACATCGATCTCTCTCCTACGGGTCCTGCTACTTTCGAAGACACAGTGCAGTCGCTGTCTCCTATAGGTGTCTTCAGTTTTAGCTCATCGATTTAGAGAAGAAATCTCCCTTTTCTGCTTTTCTGTTGAAGGATATAAATACATATATATATATATATAAATATACCTATGTATATATATCTATGTACATAAATATACATACATATATATGTATATGTATGTATATATGTATATGCACACACATATATATATGTATGTATACATATATGCATATGTATGTATACATATATGCATATGTATGTTTATATATATACATATGTATATCATCATCAATCATCTCCCAATCTTTTCCAATGTTGTCTTGCATTTTTTATTTCGTCTTGGCCCCCAAATTTCGTTATTTCGTCTCGCCATCTTGTCATAGGTCTGGCCCTTGGCCTCTTTATGTTATATATAGCTCAGTATGTTACTTTCTTTTCCATCTGTCGTCCTGTCTCTGACATATATGACCTGCCCATTGCCATTTTTTCTTTTTGATGTTCCTGACCTCTACACCCCGGTCTGGGCACTTATTAGTATCCTCTTCAGTAATTTGTTTGTAGTCCATGTTTCTGATCCAAAGGTTATAACTGGGAGGACGCAATGGTTAAAGACTTTTCTTTCTAAACATAAGAGCAAGGAGCCTCTTAGTATGGTACTGAGTCTGCCGAAGGCACTCTAGCCTAGCCAATGCATCGCTTAATTTCCTCTTCGCTAGATGTGTTTGTATGAGATATGCCATGTATATATGCTTGACCACTACCTCTCGTGCTTCGCCTTGAACACGTATCTGTTCGAATTGAACTCTACTGTTGATCATAATCTTAATTTTTCTTGTTCATCCTAAGTCCGACTCAGATCGTTTATTAGCTGCATTTGCATATTCACTGAAGAGAACATCATCATCTGCAAATTAGTTTGTTTAGGTATTTATCTCCTATTTTGATACCCTTTTCGTTCCATTCTAGCTTCTTGAATATTTCCTCAAGGAAAGCTGTAAACAGTTTTGGTGAGGTGGTATCGCCCTGTCTTTTTTAATTGATATTTTATCGGTTTCCGTGTGGAGCTGGATGATTTCTGTCCCATCTTCGTATATATCTCAAAATATTTTACAATATACCTCCTCTACTACATATTTTCGAATAGCTTCTAGTACTGCTAGTATTTGTAGAGAGTCAAATGCTCTTTCGTAATCGATGACTGCCATACACAGGGGTTTCCTATATTTGTTTATTTTTTCTCTTATTTGGGTGATTGTGTGGATGTGGTCTGTTGTTGAGAATCCACTGCGGAAGCCTGCCTATTCTCTAGGCTGGTTATAATCCAGACTGTCAGAGATGCGAGTTGTGATGACTTTTGTAAACAGTTTGTAAGTAACTGAAAGGAGGCTTGTGGGTCGGTAGTTTTTTTAGATCCTTTTTATCCTTTTTTTATGTATCAAAATAATTGTTGCATTTTCCCAGGTTTTCGGAGTGTTTTCGTTAAGAAGGCATTTGTTAAAATGATGGCTAGTTTCACAGTTGTGGTGTTTTCCCTCTCTTCATGCCTTTAAGCGCTCTTTTTATTTCTCCTGTTGTGATGTAGCGCGTCTCTAGTTACCGCGTTCGCTTTTATCCGTGGCTGTTCATTGGAGTTGTATAGATCCCTGTAAAAGTCTTCCAATACTCTTATAATTTCATTCTTATTATATGTCACTTCTTAGTCTTGTTTTCTTATTGCATACACTTGAGTTCTCCCTATTCCGAGTCATCTTTTAGCTGTTTTTATGCTCTTCTCTGTTTCATTTATTATTTGAGTGTTGAATTTCCGTACATCTTCTCTCTTCTTTTTATTTATAGTCTTAGTTCAACTAATTCTATCTTGTCCCTGTTTAACGATACTTTCATGACCCTACGTTTTTGTATAAGATTTTCAGTTTCTACTGCGAGCTTGCTAGAGCTTTGCTTGACGTTCTTACCGCTTACCGCCAGCTTCCTCTATTTTGTTTGTGAACTGTTTGTTGATTTGGTCATTGTTGAGATCTTCGTCGCTGAGATCTTCGTCGCTGAGAAGTGAATATCTGTTTTAGATGTTAAGGTTAAATTCTGTCGCTCGGTCTTCAATTTTGTTAAATTTGGCTGCGGTTTTCGTTTGTTTCTTCCCCCCCCCCCCCACACATATATATGTGTGTGTGCATATATATATATATATATATATATATATATATATATATATACACATATACACACACACATATATATATATATATATATATATATATATATATATATATATATATATGTGTGTATGTATATGTATATATATGTATATATATATATATATATACACACACACACATACACATATGTGTATGTGTGTTTGTGTATATGATTGTGTGTGTATGTGTTTTTATGTGAATGTAAAGCATAATAATATGTACACACAAATGAGATGAAAACACTGCCCCAACAAAAAGAGTCATGAAAGGAATTGCATGTCAACCAAAAGAACAGGGGAATGGCGCTTGCAGTGTCATCTTTTCATACATACATATAATGCCAAGCAACAGATTCAGCGTTACTGGCGCGAATTACCATTTCATTTCGTCCGTTGTAATCAGCATTGTTTTTTCTTATGGGTAATCGGTTGCTAACAAAAGGATTTGTTTTATGCTTCAGAATGACACAGAGAGAAAAAGCATGAGAAAGATGGAGAATTATTACATTATGTGATATTTGCTACGTAATCGGTTTCCATTTTCTTCATTGTTTGTATACACTAACGTGGGTCCCTTTGAATAGTGTTAAAAATGCGGCTACTAACAAACGTATAAATAGCATTTACGTCATCTGTATAAACCTCATTATTGTAATAGTTGCAATAGTGTTGTGTGTGTGACGTCAATAATGAAGTAATTCTTGACATATTAACTCATTGCCGCCGAGGAAAATGAATAAAGAAAATGCTGTGCTCATTTTTTATATTTTTTGTGAAAGGTCTCTACACATAGATGGCTCTGCCTTACCTGATTTCACCTTTCCTTGAATTGGCGGGAAAATGTATTTTTTACTAGTGCTATGTATATCGATGGTGTTATTTTGATCATAAAAAATATAATTACCATCAGGTTATAAACATTAGTTATAGCAAAATAAGATAGCATAAAATATTTTCGTAAATTAAAGAAAAGGGTAAACGGGCAAGACAGGCAGTACTCGTAATTGGCTCATTGGTGATTTAGTACAAGTGTAGCCATCTATGTGAAAAAGAACAATTATCCCATTCGCCACATATGGCAAGAATAGATGCCATACCCACTTTGATACACGTTTATTTATTGTATTTACACATAGATGGCTCCACAAGTTTTTAATCACCAGATAGCCAGTTATCAAGAACTACCTATTTCACCTGTTTACCCTTTTCCTTCACTTTAGGAAAGTTTTTTTTTTTTTTTGTATCATTTCATTGTCAAAAATATTCTAATGACAATTCAATAAGCATAACATCAATAACAATAATAACAGTATCGAAAGCAATGGTATTAGTTTTCCCGCCAGTTCAATGAATGGGAAAATCAGGGTCGGTAACTAGGGCCTACTGATAGACTCCTTGCCGGCTGAGCACATGTGAAGCCATCTGTAGATAACAAAATTCACTAAAAACTACAGGGGACAGAACATAAATCCGTGGCGAATGGGTTAAACAAGTAAACTCACAGTGGGCATGGCATGTACGTATATGCCATGTCCGTCGGGAATGGGTTAATGATATATATATGTCAGACACCATGTATAGATTTTAAAATATTCACCTGTTACTTCTGGTGTTCGTTTAAACTTGAATGTTCAACCGTTATTTTCTGATCGCGTAGTTATTATGAACCTGGAACTGTTTTTCGATGTACAATGTTATATGAATAAATAGTTAATTAATCTTTCTCTTTCTCTTTCTTACTCTTCCCATGTTATTCAATTATTTTGTAATATGTTCTTTTCTTATAACTGGTACATGTGCTCTCTCTTATTTAAGGTAAACTATTTTAATTTACACCAACAAGCGCTTAAGTCCTCATTTATATTAATGGTTTTAGTTAAACATCTACAGTGCAAATATTCACACTACAAATAAAGTTTCGTGCACTGAAACTACTCGTTCAACTAGCTCTAGAAAAAAGAAAAAAAGAAAAAAAAAAACTGCATGTGAAGTGAGTTTTTATCCTAACGCCACAGGGAATCCAAGTTTATGGAGCTGTGATACCTAGAAATTAGCATTTAATATACAATGAAAAAAAAAAAAAAAAAAAAAAAAAAAAAAAAAATATCTGCCGTGTTAATATCATTAGCGGCGATTTCAAAATACAGCGATAGGATGAGGCCTGTAGGGATTAGTTGTGTCTCCCCCCCCCCCCTAGTTTGCGGGGCCGAGGGAGCCAACGAGACCTAAGCTCTGGCCTCCTGGTCCGGCAAAGAGTAATTATAAGTGACGCATGTCTTGTGCGGTATCATACTTAGCAGTATCTGTTATCAATAAGAGATGTGAACACAGCCTTATGACCAGAGCAAACAAACACATAAACAAACAAACAAGTAAATATATAATTCAAAAACATAACTGACAAAACGTAACAATCCTTACAGTTAGTTAAACTTATCACTGAATAGAAAACCTTAAAAGAAATTAGATACATTAGAAACATTTACTACGATTTATCAATTATATACATTCATCAAAGTAAAATTAAGTTGTTCATCTTCATTTCCATCATTTAGTCATGGTAGAGTTATCGTATTTTGCCATTGCCATTTAAAGCCTTCAGAATCCATCAATTATTATTCGTGTTTAGACATATTTAGTCGGAAAAACGAAACAAAGGGCAAAACTCCAAACTAATATTATTAAAATGAATAAAATATAAGAAAAATAATAAAAACCTCCGGAAAAGGCACAACACAAATACACGTGAAAAAAAAGAACAATCTTAAATAGAACAAATAAAAACAATACCTAGTACAACTGCAGAATAAACAAAATAATAATAAAACAATAAAAAATAAAAATATCAAATCCTAGGAACA